ATAATACTTGCCTTAGCATCATACGAGTTCGAGAACTGTCTCTAATATACTATGTTAAACAAGTCACAACCTTTCTGGATCTCATTTTCCTCTTCAAAAAAATGAAAATAATACTTGTCCTATTTACTTCATATATAACAAGGACAAAGAGGGGGAAAAACATTAGGTAAACTATAATCATCAAGCAATACAAAATATAAGACATGGTTAACCTATTATCTTGTCCAAAATAAACTGCTAGTTTTAAAATCTTTTTTTAACTAAACTCAATTCATAGCAAATTAAGTGGAGCAGCCTTACACTTATTAATCCATTTCAATGATGTAGCACTTAAACAGGTATGAATTACACGGAAATATTAGTGCATTCTCCAAGTTAAAAGGCAAATATTTCCTAAGGCAACTTTGTCTTCAAAATTACTAAAACCAAAGGTAGTCACAAATTCCACTTTTTTTAAAAAGATCATTTTATTGGGGGTTCTTACAGCTCTTTTAACAATCCATACATCAACTATATCAAGAATATTGTACATGTTACCCTCATCATTTTCTGAACATTTACTTTCTATTTGAGTCCGTGCCAGCTCCTCTTTTTCCCCTCCCACCCTTGTGACCCTTTGATAAATTAGTTTCGTATCTTACACTGACCACTGTCTCCCTTCACCCACATTTCTGTTGTTCATTCTCCCCAGCGTGAGGTGGTCATGCACCGATTCCCCTTTCCTCCCACCTCTCCTCCTCCCCTCCTGGTATTGCTACTCCCATTTCTGTTCTTGAGGGGTTTATCTGACCTGGATTCTGTGTGTCATGAGCTCTTATCTGTACCAGTTTTACATGCTCTGGTCTAGCCAGACCTGAAAGGCAGGACTGGGGTCATGATAGTGGGAGGCGAGGAAGCCTCAAAGAACCAGAAGAATATTGTTTCATCGGTGCTATACTGTGTCCTGGTTGACTCATCTCTTCCTTGTGATCCTTCTGTAAGGGGATGTCCTACTGTCTACAAATGGGTTTGAGGTCTCTGCTCCAACCCCTCTCATTCTCAACATATGTTTTTGTTTGGGGTCTTCTGATGCATGTTACCTGATCCTTTCGATACTTCATGATCACACAGGCTGGTGTGCTTCTTCCAAGTGGGCTTTTTGCTTCTCTGCTAGATGTCCGCTTGTTTAACTTCAAGCCTTTAAAAGTCCAGACACTGTATCTTTTGATAGCCAGGCACCATGAGCTTTCTTCACATTTGCTTATTTTGTCTTCAGCACTCTTGCTGGGAGGGCAAGCATCATAGAATGCCAGGTTGTTAGAAAAGTGTTCTTGGGTTGAGGGAGGGCTTGAGCAGAATCCCAAAGTACATCCACTTCTCCTCAATGTATTGTCATATAAATATATGTACATAGGCCAATACCTCTATTTTTATGAATTAATGCATTTATATATGCACACACCTATGTTTATACCTTTAGCCAAAGCTTTGCTTCCTAGATCTTTCTAGTTTCCTTTTACCTTCCTTTTGCCCCACCATCATGCTCACCCTTCTTCTGCCTCTTAGTAAATCCTCTCAGCTAGATAGCTGTTGCTCCAACACCACCAGAACCTCTACATCCTCGTTGTTAATTTTAATTCTATAGTTGTTCCCCCATCTAAGGGGCTGCTTGCTCACTACTTCCTCCCTGCCTCCCATCAAGAAAATTCCATTAGTCTTTATCCTCAAATAGCTGATTTTTAAACAGTGAGAAATGTTTTGAATTGCCTAAAATATGCTTGTGCATTCTCTTATTTAGTTGTGAATAGACATGTTACAAATAAAGATTGTAGAAGAGAGAAACACAAAGGATACACAGGTGAACGAAACAAAGATATTAATATGACACTTCCACAGAGACAGCAAAATAGCAAAGAAATTTCCGGTCCCAACCATAATCCGATGAACAAAACGAAACCTTATAATAGTTGAAAGTATAACCATGATTCCAATCAAAGGAGCATTACATGTGGATACTAACAAAATGATTAGAAATTACTAATGTAATTCTCCTAAGAGTTGCTTTTCCTTTTAAAGCAGGAAGTCAAGAAAAAAACAGAATTTTCATGCTCTGGATCTGCACTGTCCAATATGGTAGTCACCATGCACACACAGCCACTGAGTGGTTAGTCTGAATTGAGATGTGTAAAATACTCACCAGATTCAAAGATTTAATTTGAAATAAAATATGAAAATTCTTACATATGTGGCTCTCATTTGTGGCTCACATATTTCTGTTAGCACTCTTTTAGACGCAGTCAAATCTTGATTAAAGCAATGGATACTAGAAGTATTAAACAACTTGTTCAATCTCTCACTGATAGGTAATAAATTTGAACAGGTTTAGAACCCAGTCACCTTTATCTTGCATTCATTAATATAAAAAAAATCATCCCTTACAATTCAAGTAGTCTTCCTCCCACTAACTCAACAGTGCTCTCTCAACAGTCTCCCTCTTTCTCTCTTTCTGTCACACCTTTTTCAGCATGTTAGCACCAGTGCTGTCCTTATACTATATCATTTATATGTTGGTCTCCTTTATGGGATAGAGACTGTCTTGAGGGCAACCACTATCTAATTCATTTTTCTATTCCTGGAACCTTGTAGTATCAGACACCTTTGTAAGCAATTAAAGAATTAAAGAACTAAGAAAAGAAATATGCAAACAGCGTGGGGTTATAAGATCTTTTAAAGGGTTAATTTGCAAGGTATTTACTAGCATTACAAAAGAACAACTTTTTAATTAATAAATCATTGTATTGGGGGCTCTTGAAGTTCTTACAACAATAAGGAACAACTTTGAAATCAAATTACCTACTATGTGAATGCACTGGAAAAAAACTGACCTTTTATTATCTACCTGATCATGGATTATTTTGGTAACAAGACAAATGGAATAAAATAGATAACTGATGTTATCCAAATAAGGAAAGTTACAAAGCTTTTTAAAAAGAAATGCACTGTACTACTGCTGCTCTGAAAAGTGTGGTCTGATGGCCTGATAAGAACAGAACTTTGAGCTCTTAGGAAATTCAAGAGCTTTAGGTTTAAGTACACTTACCAAATGTGCTTAAGTCCAAAACACTGTGATAGATCAAAGAAAGAATCCTGAGCAAGGGAACTGATACAGCAGTCCCTAACTATTTGAAAAGAATTTGAATCATTCATAGAAGTTAGAAACAGAAGAATCATATACTTACTATTCAGCTAATTGTAGAAAGTTATCATAGTTTATAAAATTCCTAATGTTAACATTTATAGTAAGTTGTGAAATCAGTGGCTCAGTACTCCAAAGATGACCTTCGGAAGTTTAATACATCAGTGTAATTTGCTATGATGAGTATACATTTGTAAGAGCACTAGCCTCAAATATGGCAGCTGCTAGGGGAGTCTCCTGTGGATACTTGAGCCAGCAGTCCGGGGAGCAAAAGTACAGTCTTTCCTGCAGTCAGGAAGCCGCCTGGATCTCTGCACAGTTTCCCCTGCTTTGTACTATGTCTGCATCCCACCTCTACGAAGGCAGGTACCCCCGCGTTTTAAAAGTTCGCTTTCCACCACTTCTCTTTTATGAAAGATTTACCTTAGAACCTGTTTTCGCCAACTGAAAGACATTTAAAAAGGATTTTCCGCTTTAAAAAAAAGGTGAAAACTGAAACCAGCCTCCAGCGTTTGCTGGGCAGCAAGCCCGTCCAGGGTCTGAGCACTGCAGAGATGGAGTGAGTTGCCAGCTCTGCCCCAGGAGCGCTCCGCGGCATTGGCTTTGAACTGTGCCGGGACACACGCTTGGTTAAGAGTTGTTTGGATGTTTTAGCAAGTTACATGGGTGCATGGGGAAATGCAAAATTGTTTCCCATATAAACGGATGGCAATAGCCTTTTCACTTTTACGCTCGTTCGCCCTGGGAAAGGTTTACAAGGGACGCGCTCCTGCCGGACAGCAAGGAAGCCAGTCCCTTCTTTCTTCCTCCTGCCTCTCCTCTCCTCTGTGGCTCTCAGACTAGCGTATGGAACAACTTTTCCAACAGCGTTTTCCTCCCTGACCCCCACCTGGAAAGAGTTTAGGGTGCCTCTTTAATACGTGATCTCCTTCAAAGGAGATGTCCGCCTTTGCTTCTCGCAATCCAGACACCCGATGTTCAAAATCAAACTACCATCGCGACTTCAACTGCTATCAGGAGAACGACAGCGCGGGGAACCCCCACCGACTCCCGACTTCCCTCCTCAATCCCAGTTCTCCCCACGAAAACACAAGCCCACAGCTGGAAAGTCTCGTTTTTAAGGCCAAGACAGGGGGGGGGGGGGGGGACTCAAATGAAAAATCAGTTAAGTATGCGCTTTCCCCCTTCAATTTACTCTTCCTCCGTCACTCCAGGAAGAGGTAAGCAAATCTTCTGAATCTGAGAGTCCTCCCGGAAAGCTGATGCGCGAAGTCCACACTGAATGAGCCTGCCTTTCCAAAGCAACCGGACTCGCGGCAAAAAGACAACACTGGTGGGCAAGGGGGGCAGGGTGTATGTGGGGGGAGCATTAGCGTCCTCTGCTCCCCCCCAAAAAAGTCGAAGTGGGCCAGGCGGCCGGAGCTGCGCGGCACAACAGGCGCACTCGGCAGAATTTAACCTGACAAGGCAACGGGACGGTCCACTGGGGCTCCAGCCCGCCCTCGGGGACCGCGGGCGGCCTCCCCTCCCCCGTCAGCACAAAACTAAGCCCCGTGCGCTCCCGCCGCCGAGGGGAAGGGCCTGGAGGGGGCGCGGGCCCTCGCATTCCACAGGGCAGTGGACAACCGCCTCGGTGGACGCCAGGCGGGAGGGGGGGAAATCCCGCTGAAGCTGCGCCCAGACTCCGGGATGGAGGGTCAGCGGCGGACGCCGGGGGGAGGGGGCCGCGGGCAGGGACCCTCCCATCCGGATCTCTCGGCCCTCGGCCTGCCCTTGCAAAGCTGGGCTCGGGGCGCTGGCCCTCGCCGCAGCGACGCTTCCTCACCTCAAGCTGCCTGAGCCTCCGCCTCCGCCACAACCCGAGCTGCCGCAGCCGCCACGGCCCGAGCCATTTTCCCTCCGGCTGCCTCCGCCGCCGTCCAGCGCTTCTGCCCACTTCGCAGCCAGCCAACCCGCGCGCGTCACTTCCGGCCGGGGAAGCACCGCCTTCCGCACCCAGGCCTCTTCTGGATTGGCTGGAGCGGACGGCCTACCTGGGGGGGTGGGCGGAGCCTGGGTACGTCGGTGAGGTTAGAGGTTGGGGTGGTGGGGTGCTAGGGTCTCCTGGGCAGACGAAAACGTCTTCCCGTGCAGCCCCGGACCCCGAGACCCCCAGGCCTCCAGCCTGCCACTTCTCCCACATCTTTGGTCCCGCGCCCCAAGCCCTGTTGCCATCCGGTGCGTCGGAGAGCCGGGACTCGGCACACGCCTCCCTCCGGCCAGTGCTCTCTGATCTGTGGTTTGGGCCGGGGGCTGCGCTGAGATTCCTTTGGGATTGAAAAGAACCTGCGAAGCATGACCCCACAGCATGTATTCCATCCATTCCTTACGGTGAATCAGATGCTGTAGGGCGTGTAATTAGTATCCCATAGGAAATAGTTTCTCATACCATTTTAATAACGATCATACTTTCCTCGTTAGTATTAAATGAGATTGTTATAAAGCACTTATTTAACACTCAAACGTTAGATTAAAAAATAGGTATCCGTTTACATTTAAAACCCCCAAATTCTGGCATCGAGGCAAAAACATAGCGACTCTATATAGGTTCTCAAAGCTATTTGACCTACTCAGCGCTCACCCTCAATTAAAAACATTTGTACTGTAGTCCATAACCCAAGAGAAAGTGTAGGTATCTGCTTTTGCAGCTCATCTGGGCCATTCCAGCACCCTAGGGGCAAAATCGCCCACTTTGGGAAACACTGTATATTCTTTATGGGGAGAAGTTGGTGAGTTTAAACCACTAAAGTTAGCAGCCCAGCATGTAACCCACAGCACCCCCAGTACTGCATAGCCATGTATAGCAAATACTAAAAAGTCCTGGTGTATAGATGGTGAAACTGAGGCACAGAGTCCTTATGGGAATGTAGCAGAAACATTAGTAAAATGCAGTTCTGACTCCAAATAAGGTTTTACAAGGGATTGGTTGTTCCTTAAATAATAAATGAATGGGATCCATACCTTCCAGAGGTTCAACTTGATGCTGTAAGACTGATGAGGGCTACAACTCTCATTAAGAGTAGATTGGGAAAGGGATCAGGTGTAAGGCATCATCAGAACAAAAAATCTTACCATAGTCAATGATGGGGGGAGTGCAGAGTGGAGACCCAAAGCCGGAGATCCCCTTGCAGAGGGGCCTTGGTAGGGAGACCAGCCAGTCAGGGTGCGAACTAGCAACGATGAAAAATACAACTTTCCTCTAGTTCCTAAATGCTTCCTCCCTGCCCCCACTATCATGATCCGAATTCTACCTTGCAAGTCTGGCTAGACCAGAGAATGTGCACTGGTACAGAAAGGGACTAGAAATACAGGGAATCCTGGGCGGATGATCCCTTCAGGACCAGTGGTGTGAGTGGCGATACTGGGAGGATAGCGGGCGAGTGGGTTGGAAAGAGGGAACCGATTATAAGGAACTATATGTGACCTCCTCCCTGGGGGACAGACAACAGAAAAGTGGGTGAAAGGAGACGTCGGACAGGGCAAGATATGACAAAATAATAATTTATAAATTATCAAGGGCTCATGAGGAAGGGGGGAGCGGGGAGAGAGGGGGAAAATGAGGACCTAATGCCGGGGGCTTAAGTGGAGAGCAAATGTTTTGAGAATGATGAGGACAATGAATGTACAAATGGGCTTTACACAATTGATGTATGTATGGATTGTGATGAGTTGTATGAGCCCCTAATAAAACGATTAAAAAAAAGAGTAGATTGGGAGTAGCACTTTAGATATAAACTTAACCAGTAAATAATGGGAAAGAAATGGTTCTGACAAAAATGGATGGATAAATTTGTGCACATGCGTGCGCGCACGTGTGTGTGTGTGTGTGTGTGAAGCCATGATGGCATAGTGAGTTATACATTGGACCGCTAACTGCAAGACCAGCAGTTTGAAATGACCAGCCATTCCACAGGAGAAAAGGTGAGGCTTTTTATGCCTGTACTTCTGAGATTCACAGTCTCAGAAACCCACAGTAGTAGATCTACTCTGCTTTCTAGGGCCACTATAAGCTGGAATCAACTCATTGGTTTGAATTAGAGGTGTGCACGTCTGTGCGTGTACACGCACACACGTGCACAGGAAAGGAGTGTAAAATGGAGAGGGTGAAGCTCCCTAATTACTGTTGTAAATATACCCACACCTTCCCTTGGCATACTAGTGGCAATGCTGGTTAAGCACTGGGCTGCTTCCCCTAGGTCTGTCATTCAAACCCACTGGCTACTTTACAAGAGTTCTCCTTTGGAGTGGCTCGTGGTTTCACACTGCCTGACACGGCTGTTAACAGCTCAGCGTGTAACTACTACATTACCAGGAATCCAGGAAAAATGAATTCCTTGACAACTTCAATCTTTTTTCCATTTATCATGATTTTACCTACTGATCCAGTTGTAAGAATTTTAGTCTTCAGGGTAACAGGGCACTAACCCACCCAAGGGGAGGGTATTGTTTATATCGCCACAGGGAAAGAGGGATCACACTTCAACCCTGTGCTCCAAGTCGTGAATGCAACATACCAGCATGAAGCAGAGAACCAATAGAAAGGTGTGAGGGGCTGGCCCCAATCCCAACTACGTGGACAGCCCCCCTCCCCCCAGAATTGACTTCAGAGGACAGCACTAAAGCTACAGCTCAGAGAGAGGGCCATGTCTGGTCAGGGCACACAGGAGCAAATGAAGGGGGAGGAAGAGAGAGGGGAACACATCCTGGCCCACCAAGCTCTGAGGATGATATTTCCGCTCAGAGCAGCCAGTGCATAGAGAGGACCATAGGGCTGACCCTACTACGAGGTACGACGTCCCTCACTGACCCATAGCAAAATGGGGGACAACACTAGAGATAGTGCAGGACTTGTGCCACATCTGACCCCACCACACGGAGGCAAAACACTAGGGGCGTGCAACAGAACAGCAAGGGGAGACAGAGCAAAGAAGTCCCCAGGCAATACCAAAAATACTGTGGGCCAGGGTGTGGAACCCCATCAGACTACACCAGCAACACTCCTAAAGGTCAGCAAACAGACCTTGAACTATTTACAGGCTTTTCTTTTTTTTTTTTTTTGTCATTGGTTTTTTTGTTGTTGTTGTTTTGTTTTCTCTTGTTGCTTTGTTTTGCTCTGTCTTGCTTTTTTGTGCATATTATTATCTCTGCAGGTCTCTCTAGATAAGATAGGCGGGATAAACAATCTGGAGGAGAAAACAATAGGACCGATGTTTCTGGAGGGACACAGGAGAGGGGGATGTGGGGGAAAGGAAGTAGATGTTAACAAACCCAGGGACAAGGGAATAACAAGTGATCCAAAATTGATGGCAAGGAGGGTGTAGGAAGCCTGGTAGGGCTTGATCAAGGGCAATGTAACCAAGAGGAATCACTGAAACCCAAATGAAGGCTGAGCATGACAGTGGGACAAGAGGAAATAGAGGAAAGAACTAGGAGACAAAGGGCATTTATAGAGGTCTAAATGCAGGCATGTACATATGTAAATATATTTATATATGATGATGGGGAAATAGATCTAGGTGCATATATTTATAGGTTTAGTATTAAGGTAGCGGATGGACATTGGGCCTCCATTCACATACTCCCTAAACGCAAGAACACTTCCTTCTAGTAAAGTGGCATTCCATGATGCTCACCTTCCTGACATGATCACTGAAGACAAAGTGGGTGCATAAGCAAATGTGAAGAAAGCTGATGGTGTCCGGCTATCAAAGATGTAGAGTCTAGGGTCTTAAAGGCTTGAAGATAAACAAGCAGCCATCTAGCTGAGAAGCAACAAAGCCCACATGGAGGAAGATCACACAGCCTGTGTGATCATGAGGTGTCGATGGGGTCAACTATCAGGCATCAAAGAACAAAAAAAATCATATCATTGTGAAAGAGGGGGAGTGTGGAGTGGAGACTCAAAGGCCATTTTAGGCAACTGAACATCCCCTTACAGAAAGGTTGCGGGGAGGAGACAGCCAGTCAGGGTGCAGGGTAGCATGAATGAAACATACAACTTTCCTCTAGTTCTTTAATGCTCTCTTCCTTCCCACTATCATGATCCCAATTCTATCTTACAACTACGGCTAGATCATAGGACGTACACTGGTACAGATAAGATCTGGAAACACAGGGAATCCAGGACAGATAAACCCCTCAGGACCAATATGAGAGTAGCAATACCAGGAGGGTAAGTGGAAGGTAGGGTAGAAAGGGGGGAACCAATCACAACGATCTACATATAACTCCCTCCCTGGGGGACAGACAACAGAAAAGTGGGTGAAGGGAGATATCAGACAGTGTAAGACATGAAAATATAATAATTTCTAAATTATCAAGGCTTCCTGAGGGAGGGAGGGTGGGGGAGGGAGGGGAAAAATGAGGAGCTGATACCAAGGGCTCAAGTAGAAAGCAAATGTTTTCAGAATGATGATGGCAACAAATGTACAAATGTACTTGATACAATGGATGGATTGTGATAAGAGTTATACGAGCCCCCAATAAAATGATTTTTCTTAAATGAAGGAATGTGTGAACCTCTGGGGGGAAAAAAAGAATTTTAGTCTTCTTTACAATGAGTTGTAATCCATACTGAAGGCTACAATCCTAGATCATTAGCAAATGTTTCAAGTCCTTCTTATTTTCAATAGGCAAAATTGCATCATCTGCATATCACAAGTTGTTAATAAAACTTCCTCCAACTCTGATACCACATTCTTTTTCATAGAATCCAGTTCTCTGATTAGTTGCTCAGCATACAGATTAAGTGTGGTAAGAGGACACAACCCTGAATGCATATTTTATTCTGTTATATATCACTATAGGAACAACTTATGATTATTCTGACCAGCCCTGTCCACCCACTTTCCCTACTCTAAACTTTCACCA